TGGGACTTTTCTTGCTAATAAACCTTCAGTAGGGTTACACATCAGTACAGCTTAAATGGGCTCGCTTCTGATTTAATTATTTCCAGTTTTTCCACAAGGTGACGCTATAGTACATGTTTAACACATGTTTTGCTGGTTGCTACAAGGCAACATAATGTAAAATTGGGGGGGGGTTGTTTGTTTGTTTTTTGTTTCTAGCTTGAACATTAATATGAGTAAATCAGACTCTCAGGTTTACTGTTACGGATGATTTCTTTTTCTTTTCTTTTTTTTTTTTTTGAAGGCTTAAACAGTTAGAGCCCTGCTGTCTAGCCAGAGCCTTATTTTTGCATTATTGATGTGATATTTTAAGACATCAACCTCAAACATGATGCAAACCTTTTCTTTTTAACTTTTGTTTAAGAAAATTAAAGAAAACAAGAATGCCAAAAAAACATAAACATCTTAAATTATTTTAATAATGTAGTAAGATTAGATTAGAACCTGATCTCCTAATAGAAACAATTGTTGATTGCTATACTGAGAGAAGACACCAAGAGTGTAGTAAGATTGAAGGAATTTAAACCACTCGAAGTTAGAGAAAGAACCTTTGTGTGGTTATATCGCAATTTCTACTTTGATACGGTAAGTCACTGAAGAGCAGGCGGTTGTTGCTTCCCTAGTGACATCGTTACTCACAGATGCTCAACAATGTTCCTACTACAGCCACAAACTACCAGACCACGTTTGCCTGGAAGCTTGTAATTCAAAATGAAGGATTTTAGTGGCCATTAAAATATGTTCATAATTTCCAAATAGAAATAAAAATCACGACACAGTGCTCTCCTGTACAAGCTGCCTTTTTTTTGGTTAAGAGTATCAGTATTGGTACTGGCATCAACAATACTGCCTCTGTATTTTCTTGGTATCAGATCAATACTAAAATCTGTAATGTTACACAGCACTGTTTTTGTGTCTCTTGGCTGACTAAAACATATATGTCTTATAGCAGCCACTATAACTAGGACTTTACACTTTTAATCTGGAGGGCTAAGAAATCTGACCTGTTATCTGCACTTTACTGACATCTAGCTAACATTTGATACTGACATTTACTGACATAAATACAATAAAAATACAATATATAAACACATACTGATATGTACTAAAAAGTACATACTTTTAGAAGCATATATAACCCTATGTTCATACATATCCATTAAGATTTGAAGACTGGGTATAAGAATATTGTATGTTTGAACTGAAAATTAGTTATTTCCAGGTTACACACACAACTGGGGTCTTTAATCATTCTGCACTTACTGTGTGTGTGATAGAGAGTGAAGATGTGAGATGCTGTGTTTGCTCCAGTAATACATGGCAGTGACAGAGTTTCTCTGCTTGTGTTTCCAAGAACAGAAAAAGAAACCTGGTGCTGGAGCGACTGGGAACAGGATGTTCTAAAATAAATAAATATTTGTGTATACACATCTGTTGTAAATAGTAGCATCCTCAAGGCATTTATTTTACAAGTTTTACTCTCTGGTTCAATTTATTTAAATGATTTCCAAATGTGTCATAGGTTACACATATTCTGCTGAACCTAATCCGTGTTCACAACCTAAATGCAAAGACATGTTTATTTTTGATAATGCAAGGTAAGGAGTTGCTTTTTTTTTTTTTTTTTTTTTTTTTTTTTTTTAAATGACATCAGAAACAGCAGTATGCGACATTACGTGATGGCAGAGCTTCAGTTCATCCTTTGTCATTTTTTTTTTTTTTTTAAGAAATAGGACAGGGGGAATGAATGAGAGAAAGAGGGGGAGAGAAAGAAAGAAAACCAAAGGGGAGAAGAGACGGTGAGAAGGGGGGGAAAAAAAAAAAAACAACAACTCCTGGGTCACCTGTATGGAGAAAACAAAACAAAAACAAACAAACAACAAAAAAAACAAACAGAGGAGACAGCAAACAACAAAGAGCAACATAATAATAGAGAAAACAAAGCACCATCACAATAAACTAGCTAGTCATAGATATCAATAGTTACTGAATAATAAACGATATTGTGCAGCACGCAAGATAGACAGCGCACAGTGTGCTTTGAGGCAGCAGCCAAGAAAGCTTTAGTCCGCGTCTGTGAATACCCATGTGTACACCTGTGTGCATACCTGTGTGGATCAGCATGCTTGCATTCCAAAGGTTTCTCCATGTAATGATCTGCTAGGGAGTGTGGGGGGGCCACAGCCCCGTCCTCCAGGGTGTGAAGCGGGGTAGTTGGAGTAGCTTTTCACTGTAGATAACTCTACTCTAAGAGATTATATTTTAATGGGAGTAATCGTCAGATGTTATTTCTAAAAATCAACTTTAACCAACACGGTGAATTAAACCTCGAAACAATTAAATGAACCTTTTAAAATCATTCCGCCAAAGATCATCTGCAGTTTTGAGGGTAACTGTTTACTATAATGCTGTTTGGCACTGTTGCTGTATCCTGCTACATTGTCCAACAGACACCCTCATATCAAATACTGGATATGCAAATATGGGTGGAGAAGTTTTTCTGGGTAGGGTGACACAGGGTACTCAGAAAAGCTGTCAAGTACAGTTTATGCAACACGGGGACCTTAAACACATGCAAGTCATGACTGTGACGTCTGTTATTATAAGCATTGGCTACAAACATATTGTGTGTAATTCACAGAGGAGAGAAATACACAGTACATGCTCATAGTTTGTTTTTGATGTGCAGTGTTATCAGAGTGGTTTTCTGGTTGATTGCAATAATAAGCCAGACTAGCGAAAGACAGGGTAGAAATAGAAAAGAGGGAGAAAACATTTAAAAGAATGGAGTTGGAGGAAAAGGTCAAAGATAAAGTAAACAGACATGCAGGGTGTCTAACTGCTGCTTTTTTTAACAAAGAGTTTAAATAATAAAGCCTCTTTGTGGATGGTAGGGCTGGTGCTTGGTCATGTCTCATATTCAAACACAAATCTATCACATTTCTTTACTGATAAATCCTTGAATAAACATGAACATTATAAACTGAACTTTGCTTGTGCTGGAGAAAAATCAGGTGATCTTCCGGCAGTTCATTGACACAGGATAAGGGCGTTTATGTGTCAGCAAAAGCCCCGGTTCATTTTTCATGCTAAATTTATATTTGCTTTTCTTTCTTTGTGTGTTATGAGTATGTATGACCTCTTTTCTTGTTTCCCCCCTGTGAACAGGCATATTTAAGACCAGCAGTCTTCAGCTCCCCACACAGGATCCGCAGACTGAGACCAAGAAAGAAGAACAGAAGGTAACATTGCAAAAGTTTTTTCTTTTCATTAAAATGAATGTTCTCACCACTGGTTTGTAAACCCAATGCAAATGAAACCCCCTTTAGGTCTTTATCAGAGGTTAAGGCTCCGTGATGAAGGCGCTTACTGTGCCTCTGCTTGTGTGCACCATGATGGCTCTTGCCCAAGTTTCTTGTGAGTATTTAAAGGCAAATGTGTAGATATTTTTAGATTTTACATACAAAACGTGATTGAAGAATAGCAGATTTTAGATGTTTCAATCAGTCTGATTTTTTTAAGTGTTAATTGTTCATGAGCATTTTATCTTTGTGGTACTGAATTTATGATACTGTGTTAACTCTCTTGTTTATTTCTTGTCTGTGGCTGAAGCTGTCCCTGCAACTGTTCCAGTTTACAGTAATATACCCTTGACAGATGCTCCTCCTGTACCAGGTGAATGTAAGATGGTTATTTTAGGATGAATATCTCGATGATCCACCTGTAAAAAATTAGAACAGCACATGCTCTACATTAGTAACTGCAACCAAAAACATTTTCAGCCCATGCAGATGCAGACATTTGGTGAATGAAACCATTTACAACAGATGCAATATAACAATATTTATTTATTTTAGTTTTTTTCCGTAAAAGCCAAAAAATGAAGAGTGACAACAGATTAACTATTCACTGGCAGCTCAATATCAACATTTCTTGTCCATTTGTCCTCAGAGGACCCTTTTGGTGGCTGGGTTCCATCTTGCCCTGATGGATGGAGTATGCACAGTCAACAGTGCCTCCTCTTTGTTCCAAGATACATGACCTGGGCTGAGGCTCAAGTAACAAAGATATTGATTTTTACACTAAGTATACTATGAAAGCTTGGAATACATTAATGATGTAAAATTTCTTGGTCACTTAATTCTGTCTGTTTGTCTGCGCTGTAGAGAAACTGTCAGTCTCGTGGAGGACAGCTTGCATCTGTGTATAGTGCCAGTCAAGCTTACGAGATTCAAAAGGAGGTGCAGCGTGCTGGACGTGGCTATGGACAGTTTTGGGTTGGAGGCCATAATACTCCAGCGGTAAATAGCATGGTGTCTAGCAGTTTATGGAACAATTGCATTTTTAATTAATATGAATTAGCAATCTTTTTTTTTTAAATTTTGCTTTAACAGAATCCTTCCTGGTCCTGGAGTGATTATATGGGCGTGTCTGCTTTTGCTGAGTTTTGCAGAGGACAGGAAGCTAAACATAAGCACCACTGTTTGCAGATAACTTTTGGTGGTAAGTCTACCCCCAACCCCCATCAAAAAAAAGAAAAAAAACTGCTAGATTCAAGAAGTTTATTGTCATATACACTGCAAAACACAAGTGGTGATGCAGAGCAATGAAATTCTTACTTTGCAGGTTCCCTTCACACAACTAAATAATCAACTAACTAAAATAAAGAGTAAACTTAACTCTGAGCGTAGAACATAGCACAGAAGATAATAAAGTAAAACAAGGGCTTTGTAGCTTATCTGTGGGTGTAGACGGAATTTAGAATAAAGTGCAAATAGTTGCAACACTGTCACAGTGGTGATAGTTACAGAGTATGCAATATTAACATGTTTATATTGTATGAAGTTGTATTGTATTGATTGTATATGTACAAAATAGCAATTTTTCAGGTCAAAGATAATCAACAACAACTAGTCAGTGATTCAGTAGACTGATGGCCTGTGGATAGAAGCTGTTCTTTAGTCGGATTGTCGTTGCTTTCACACTCCTGTAGCGTCTGCCAGTTGGCAGGAGTGTGAACAGTGTGTTGTGGGCATGTGTGTGGTCCTTGATGATGTTGTGAGCCCTTTTCCTGACCCGACTGTTGTAAATGTCCTGTAGTGGTGGGAGGGGCACTCTACTGATGAAGTGTGCCTTTTTAATGACACGCTGGAAAGCCTTCCTGTTGTTGTAGTATCCTTCCAGCTTCAGCCTGTACTGCCTCTTGGTTTCCATGATGTATCTACGCAGATCATATCTGGCCTTTTTGTTTCTATCTGCATCACTAGAGGCGAATGCAGCGGAGCGTGCATGTAGCATGGCATGTACCTCACAGTTCAACCGTGGCTTCTGGTTTGGATACGTTTTGTAGCATGACAATATTGTCAATGCATGTGCTGATGTAGCTGGTGAACACTGTTACATATTCCCCTGAATCCACAGAATTGTCCTCTGCTTTTAACTGTGCACATGCATCAATGATGATATAGCCAAATATAATTAATTAAAATAAGTTGACAAATATTGTATTTAGTTGTGTCTTAGCAACTAGCTACACTCATTTTTTTTGCTAAAAATTGTCCCCTCATTTCAGAAAGTTTTTGTTACATTTTATAAATTTTGATGAAAGAGGATCGTTGAGTCATAGTGTCACTGTTTGAGACCGATTCCTGTTTTGTTTTTTGTATGTTTTTTGCAGAAGGAAAGGCAGGATGCTTGGATGACAAGAAGTGTGAGACTAAGCTCCCATCAATCTGTGGTAGCCTTATCATGTGATCTCATCACTAATGCAAACCAATACTTCATCAGTAAAAACACTGACGTGTTTTTCAGCTATTGAGTCTTTCTTGGTATTTCTGTTCTGTTGCTACAGCATAAGGGATCAAATGACACATACAATAAACTGCAGAACGATTTTATGTTTGGAAAGTCTTTAAAAATAAAAGAATGCTTTCACACAATGTACACATTTGTTTTGGAAAGTGGACTGTATTTCATATTCTTATGTAAATTAAAACACTAAAGCATTGAAAGAAACTGGTGGTCTGTTGCTCCATGTTACAGCTATAGTTCTACTATATTCAAAGCACAGCATGAAGTAAGTAATTTTTAGTGTACACCTATACAGCTGGGATAGGCTCCAGCGCCCCCTGCGACCCTGAAAAGGATAAATGGCCTGTATTTGTATAGCGCTTTACTAGTCCCTAAGGACCCCAAAGCGCTTTACACAACCAGTCATCCACCCATTCACACACACATTCACACACTGGTGATGGCAAGCTACATTGTAGCCACAGCCACCCTGGGGTGCACTGACAGAGGCGAGGCTGCCAACACTGGCGCCACCAGGCCCTCTGACCACCACCAGTAGGCAACGGGTGAAGTGTCTTGCCCAAGGACACAATAACCGAGACTGTCCGAGCTGGGGCTGGAACTGAACAACGAGGTGCTAACCCTGTTGAGCACCACAGTGAGCCTCCTTCACCTTCCCCAATGTCTGAGATACTGACAAGTAGGGGTGGGTTTTCATAATCAATTTATCGATTAAAATCAATTCTTGCTTGGATAACGTGATATTAATCCATTAAAATCCTGAATCGATTTTTTAATATAAATTTATTTTACCCAAAATGCCAGAGTCTCAGGTTAAACCTCACAAAATTTCTTTCTCTCCCGACAGCACGGACACGGACACGAGCTGAAAGCCGACAGCTCGCTGATTCTGAAGTTTCGGCGGGTCCGCGCTTTGTCTTTACGCCTTTTTTGCCCTGATTCTGAAGCTGCAGGTTTTATCTCTCTCCAAACAATATTGAGTAAACCAGCAGCAAAAAAAGCAGCAAACTATGCTTCACATAAACATCGTCATGAATTCCCTCTTATTGTTTTGCTGCCACCATGATAAAATCACACTACATGCACATCTCTCTCTCTCTCTCTCTCTCTCTCTCTCTCTCTCTCTCTCTCTCAGTATACTTCAAGAACAGTTTTCTGTCTAAAAATCTTTTTTCTGCATTATTTGCTTGGTTGTTACACACAACTCTACCATTCTTACAGCGCTGTCGGCCATTGGTTTTTTTTCCTTTGACTTACTTCCGAAAAGAAAACCTCATTTCTGTCGTTCAATAGGCTACTGAACAAATGTAAAAAAATTTAAATTATGCAAAATTGCAAAACGCTGTGTCTCTAATAAAACCTCTGTAACTTTGCTCTGCTTCACTTCAGCAGCATCAAGTGATGTTCATATGTTCATTAATGGTTTTCTTTTGTTTTTGATGCACTGCAGAATATTTGAATGAATATTTCAGGTGATATAGATGTAGAAAAACACATTTTATCAGTTAGTACTGAAAAACTATACTCAGACTTTCTCGCTAAACACTTTCACCTCTGTTGTAAATGTGTTTCATTATTATGGAGATTCTGATTACACATGAGCTTTGAGTGGCACAGACTGAGACTAACTATTGCAGTTTTGTTGTGTTTTGGGTTTGTTTTGTTTGTTTTTTTGCAGAAGAAAAGAGAGAATGCTTGGATACCATGGACTGTGAAACTGGAAACCTTATCATATGATCCTGCAATAATTCTCTAACTCATTAGTAAGAAGCACAATGTCTTCATTACCTTTTCTTTCTCTGTATGTCTGCATTTTTGCTATGATGCAAGCAATCAAGCATCACATGCAATAAATTGGAACTGGCTTTTCTCTTTAAAATTCTGCCTGATGAAGAAAGCTTTCTGCAAAGCTTTATATTGTATATTGAGCTGCAGTTCATTTCTGGATGCAAATTAAAACTATTAGCATTGTAATAAATTTGTCTGTTTTGTGATACATCTTCAGTTCTATTACATTCATAGTCCACCGCAGAGTAAGTAATACATTTGGACAACACTTTAGAATAATATCAATCTATTAAGCATTAGAATAGAATAGAATAGAATGAATAGAATTCTACTTTATTGTCACTGCACATGTCACAAGTACAGGCAACGAAATGCAGTTTGCATCCATCCAAAAAGAGCTTTAGCCATGATATAGATATATTACAAAAATATATATTAGCAATAACATAGATATATAGATATATTACAGAAATGGGTCTATTATAGGAATGAGGGTACACAATATGGGTCTATTATGGGTATGTTGCAATGTACATGGTATGAAGGTAGGTTATGAATATGATATAACAATAAGTATGTACAGGCTGTAGTGAGTGTGTAAGGTTATGAAAATGATATAATTAACAAAACTATACAGAAATCTGAACTATGCAAGTCATAAACAGTTGTAAACAGTTGTAGAATTATAATTATTGGTTGTACAGAATGATTGTCTATACAGCATTTACAGTAGTGCAGTTTAGATCAATGGGGTTATATAAAGTGCTAGTATGGTTCAGTCTATGTTATTATTGTGTGTAAGAAAGTGCAGTTGTCCATTTGCTTGTTTTTTCCACTGTCTGTGTGTTCAGTTGTAGGTGGTTGTGGGTGTGTGTATGTTCAATCCATGAAAAAGTTTAATGTGGGTCAGTCCATGTTATTATTGTGTGTCTGAGGGTACAGTTGTCCATTGTGTGTGTGTGTGAGTAGGTGGTTGTGGGTGTGTGTATGTTCAGTCCATGAGTTTAACGTGGGTCAGATGTCAGGAGGCAGAGTTCAGGAGTCTGACAGCTGTGGGGAA